GATATAACTTGACTTCCATGGGGAATGCTTTACTAAATGTCAGCAGGTTGCCAAGCAGGGCTTAGAACCCAGGGCTTCTGTTTATACTTCCCTTCGTTGCTTTCCAATATGGATCTGGAAAGCCTGTGGGGCATCCAGAAAAGGAGATGGCCTTAGGAAATAAGTCAAGTACTCAGAACGCTGCCTTGCTGTCATAGTCCTTTGTACATATTGGCTAGCCTGACATCTCCCTCTCACCTTCAGAAATTTAGATTGGAGGCTCAGCCCCTGTAGCAGTAGTTAAGGTACCGGCCACATACACAGAAGCTGGCGAGTCCGAATCCGGCCCAGACCTACTAAACAACAATGACAACTGCAACAAAAAAGTAGCCGGGCTTTGTGGCAGGTGCCTATAGCCCCAGCTACCCCAGAGGCTGAGGAAAGAGAATCGCTTAAGCCCAAGAGTTCAAGGTTGCTGCGAACTGTGTAGTCACAGCACTCTACTGAGGGCGACATAGTGAGACTGTCTCAAAAAACAAAAAAATTTAGATTGGAGATGCAGGTTTGGCAGTTGCCATTATAGAAAGCCTTGGGATGGATAAAGTCACCCTGGCCAAATACATAAAATATGACAGAGTTCTCAGGAGCAAAAACAGGAATCTAGTGGAAGAAAAGCAACCAATAAAGGAAACTGAAAAGAGGTCAGAAATGTACAAGGTAAGGTAAAAGATGACAAAGGGGGCTAATTACAAGCCTGTATTGTTTGGGTGAAATAACTACTTTGGCATTACTGGGTACCTATGTTCATTGTTTTATTGTACCTACTCCTTGCATCTTCCCTGCTAACAGAAATCAAACTGGACGTCAAGGTAGTAAAGAGACTATTCAAACAGTCTCTTTCTTAGTCTCAGTTGTAGCTGCGGGGCCATGTGATACAGAATGATCACCCATCCCCAACTGAATTTATACAGGCTCTATAGAATCGTTTTGGTAGTTCAACATTCCTAACAGACAAGAACATTTTGCACAAAGGGGTTTGTCCAAGTGTAACAGAAGTGCAAGAACTGAACTGAAGACTGTACGGGGAATGAGGGGGGCGGACAGGAAGGAGTGGCCAGGTACACTTTGGGGGAGGTGGCATACCAAGAAATAATTTATAAGTCTTCCACAATAGAATCCCTCACACCACCTTGCTACCAGACCCCTTCTCACCTTCAGAGATTCAATCGTGGCCTGCTTGTAAATTTTTCCTCCAGTATTTTTCTTCTGAGGACTATCTTGGATTCTAGGTGTTCGAATGACGAATTTGTCCATTGTTAGAGAACTCCAGCCACTTTCACGTGCTTGCAGTGTGTTCTGATCAAGAAAGAGGGCAGATTCTAAAACTTCACCAACACTGCTGTGATGCTAGCTCCCCAAAGTGACACAATTGGGTTATCTGCAAGAACTCTTAATTACAGGGTCTCTCGGATAGAATTTACATAAAGTGAAAAAAGTAAGGTCTTCCTTAGAGCTAAACCCGTACACATTGATCGGTCTATTTTCTGAGTTAGGAGGTTCCTAGCTTCCAGAAGTGCATGCTGTAGAGCGGATTCCAATATTTGGG